TTGTGTGTTGGTGGGGTGAAACTTTGGATTTTAGGGCAACATCTTAAACTAGTTGGTACTGTCCAGGTTTTCGAAAGACAGCTTTAGCTCCTGCAGTCTTTAATTTAGTTCATTTGAGCATCTGACAAAGCAAAACACCTTTTCTGAAGCTGGAAAATTAGCCTTGTAGTGCATTAAAATCTGTTGTACCAGTTGCCCTTTTTTGGGGGAGGCTGGAACAGGGGAAAACCTTACTAATGACTCATTTTAATTTCACTTCTTAAAACAAATGTCACTTTGTGCATTTAAATCTTCTAAATTTATTTCTTCCCCAAGCACCAGTAGCTCTGGGGTCTTTTGGTTAATTTTTTAATTACTATTTTTTGAAAAAGGCTGTCTCCCTACCATGCCTTTTCAGTTCCATAAGACTAAAGCACCCTGCTTCCCTCCTTAAAGTTCAAATTCTTTTAATCCCACCGTCGCTATCTTCTTACAGTCAGTTTGCTCGTGCTATTTGCAGGAAAAAAATATTTTAAGGTATCTTTACTGCAAAAGGAAAACATCTGAGAATGTTTCTGTGTAACCTGATGGCTGTGGCTTCGGCCTCTTGTTTCCCACTGATGATACCAAGATTTTCATGCTGGTTTGTCCTCTCGAGCTGCAATTCCCCCAACTACTACTTTGATGAGAGTAGGCAATTAAGGTGGGATTTACCAGAACTATCATGCAAAATGAGTCTCTGTGACAAAAGGCTCTTTTTGTGAAATGTGGTGCCAATAAATCCTTCTCCCTTTTATCTCTCCTTCCCCATCAAGTCGAGCACCAAACTGGGTAAAACAATGAAGCTAATTTGGCAAGGATACTTCTGCATAATCCGTCATTGTGCTTTCTTGCTCTAGTTTGAGAGGGGGTAAGTTTGTGATTACCTCAATTTTAAAAAGTAACAGCATGAATAACATTGATTTTGCTTCTAATCACTCTTGTGTGCCTTTAATACCTTAGTGCAAAGTACAGAGTTTCAGACTAGCACATCAGATGCAAAAAGCAGAGGTAATACAAGAGCTACAGCGGACAATTTTAATAACAATACTTTTTAAATGCTTTGCAGTATGAACACTGAAAAAAATGCTACAATAAGTAAATTCCTTTAGACTTTCAGGGCTAGTTCTATGTAGACAAGGAGCTGATTAGCTTCAAACTAAATTGTTTCAGGGGAATTTTATAAATTTCCTCTTCCTGCTTCTCTCTACCCTGTTCCTACATCAGTTCTTTTGAGTATACTATTTATAATATAGCTGTTCTGCAGATTTTAAGCTTGAAATTTTTGAGTAAATGGCCACTTTATTTCCAGACAGGTCATATTTTTCGGCTGAAAATGGCAGTCTCTGAAATGTGTATGTGACTTTAGGTTATATGGAGTAGCTACTATATTAAACTTAAATTTTTAGTGATACATCTGAAATGCAAGCAGCAGGCTGTTGGGCTGCCATCTCCTCTTGGGGAGCAAAGAGTTCGTAGTGGGACACTTGCAGCTGCAGAACTGTTGCTATTGAATACCTCATGGCTTAATTCTTCACTGTGCCATGCAGATGCGCAGAGAAAAACACTGACAAGAGTTGGCCTGGTCCTGCATTTGGGAAATGTGGGAATTTTGGGGGGTTTTATCTCTTGAGCCATAAGGGATACTTAGAGATAGCTATTTAAAAGGTTAATTCTTCAGCTGTTTAAAAATCACACATTCTAGCATGTTAGTATGGTGATTGGGGTTTGTGAAGTTCAGTTGCAATAGTGAGCCCAAAAATAGAGTCTCAAGAGCTAAAGAAGCTTCAGTAGATGGAACACATTTAACTCAGTCTTTTCTGAGCCATTTGTTGCAGTACTTGGAATATTCTGCTTGCTTGCTAGTCATCCTGAATTTACTTCATATAATACACAGTGATAGTCATGAACAAAAGCTGTTGAGAGGCCTATATGAGAACATCAAAATGAAGGAGAGAGACATGCCTCTGACAGGCTGTTTTCAGTGAAGTTCCCCAAAGTGTGCAGTAGCAATAAACCTCACTGCTCTTACAATGAAACCAAGTCTGTCTCCTTTGGTGGTTTGGGCTTTTAAGCTGCCTTCCCATTCCTCTACTTCATTCTCCCTCGCCGTCTGAGAAGAAAAACAAAAAGTCCCACAAATGCATTTATGAACATGGGAAAAGGAGAACATTCATTCATGAGGTCAGTGGAGCCCTGCTGCCAATTCTGAGTGTGAGGGACTCAGGCTTTAGCATCACACTGTAACACAGCACACAGATAGTGCCAAAGAGCCACCAGGGTTCACTTGATGAAAACGGTGATGCAGCATGGCCTGAATCCACCTTATTGTTGTGGCTGGCATTTACTCAACTGTTTCAAGGAGCTCCTGTCACACTTTTTTGTAAATTATTTCAACATTGGGGGCAAGAAGTAGCGACTGTCATACAGCTATACTGTATACACTGCAATCTCTCCTAATGAGGTGGTTTTCTCAACTTAATTGCTATTGCTTTTTGGTCACTATGGAGGGTATCTTGGAGAAGATGTAATGAGGGAGAAAACTAGGTCACTCATCACTAATCTGCTTCCACCGATCTCCCACTTTGCCTGGCTGACTGGAGATGTTACCACAGCTCAGGATCTAACTGCAGGGCTGCTTCTCTGCCACCATGTCCTGCCTTTAGCTCTGGTCCTGCCATTCCAGCAGAGGCTGCGGTGGGGTAAGAAAGACTTCTCTATGCGGAAAACTGTCAGATGTAGCACATAAATAAAAGGAAACTAATGGATGCATATCTGGAATGGGATTTCCATCCCATCACAGCCAGCCAGTTACTATTATTTGCGTTACACATAATTATTTATTGTAACTGTTATTTTGATTCCCTATTTAAGGGAAAGAAACTACACTTGAAAGATAGTGCTGATGAAAAGGGTGAGGAACACCTGCTCCACCTCTGTGAAGAGCAGCATTGGTATGATTTAACATCATGCTTTAAGTATTTTTAAGCTATCAGATCCTATGCTGTTGTCCAGTTTTCATTTCTTCTCTGTCCCAAGAACTTATAGTTCCCATGGTTTTGCTGTTGTTTTGCTGTGTCTCCTTATAAATAAATAAATAAGGTGGCCTCAATAAGTTAGGCTTTAAATGGCACGCTAACCTTTATCATTCATGCATCACTGAGATGTATTTCCTGCAGAAGGCCTGAACAGGAAACCAACTCTTTTTAAAGGCAGAAGTAACTAGAAAGAGGTTGCCATCTATATTATCTTTCTTAGGCTTCTCTCGTGTTTCTGTGGCTCCTTGGAAAGCAGGCTGTCCTCAAGACAGTTGTCTTCAGGACTAACATCTCTGTCCATGACCTAGCAATGCTGCATGAAGGCATTCATAAAGACTCAAAATGGAACAATTACAAAATAGCCTTTAATGCTACTGAACATCTTAAAAGAGCTGACAATTGCTTCTATCTTGGTTAAGTCCTGTCCCACTCAGACCACAGCATAGCCTAGACATGTGCTTTGTGGCTTTGGAGTTATTCAACCGGTTTTGAAATATTATCAAGGAATAAAACAAAACTAAAAGGGAATTTCCTTCAGAAGAGAGATGTCAGCCTCTGTCACATAATCTTACTTATAAAGTACTAGTGTAAAAAAAGGTAATGAAGGCACTGAGGACTTATAAGCAGTAACAGTAAATTTGCCTGACCACACCTACTTGCTCAGTCCTGTAGCCTGGGATGCTGCCAACAGAGCTATGTTAGATTCATTCCAGCTCCAGGCAGAAGCTAGGGCACACCCCAAGTGATACCTCACTTTAGCAGAAACTCCCATGCCTTGGGAATTACAGGACTTGCCCTACTCATTTGCCTCTCAAGCCAGTTCCTGCAGCCAAACATTGTTTATGGCACAGACAAATCTGTACCATCTGCCTGGGGACACCATATGTTCCCCTGGCTTGTGTTGTCTTACTGTGAGAAGTCAGGCAAACAGACTGCTGGTATGCACTCAGCATGGAGCATAGCCCAGCTGCTTATATCTGGCCCACACTACTGCATCTGTCCAGTTAATGGGGGCTTTGACAGAGTTATAGAGACCCCTACCTCCTGTAGCACACACACTCCCACTGCACCATGTGGTTCCAAAAGAACTGTCTGATCAGCCTGATCTCCCTAGCAGGGAATCTGTTCCTACACAGCTAACGTTAAGAAAGTAAATCATATTTTCTATGAGTAGATTTCTCTCAGATTTCTACCAGTAGATCTAATTAGCCTATTAAATTTGACTGAATTTAAGTAAGTGAAGTATAACTGAACTTGACTATGAAGGACCATAATAGATTATGTGGATCATAATATAGAAGTGAATGTAACACACTTTTGCTTACAAACAACAGGCTTAATCTACTCTTAGTAGGCATCAAAATCTTTAGCTTCTTTTAAAAGTTGATTTGGCCAAAGGTAGTATATTAGGACAGATTTGGGGATATGTATGTTTTCTATCATTGACAACAAAGAATGTCTTCAATGAGAATGATTCTTCCCCTGTACTCGGCACTGGTGAGGCCACACGTTGATTACTGAGACCAGTTCTGGGCCTTTCAATTCAGGAAGGACGTTGAGGAGCTGGAGCGAGTCCAGAGAAGGGCAACAGAGCTGGTGAAGGGCCCAGAGCACAAGGCCTATGAGGAGCAGCTGAGGGAGCTCTGGTTGTTTAGCCTGGAGAAGAGGAGGCTTGGGGGGGACCTTATTGCTCCCTACAACTACCTGAAAGGAGGCTGTAGCCAAGTGGTGGTCGGCCTCTTCTCCCAGGCAACGAGCAATAGGACAAGAGGCTGTAGTCTTAAACTGCACCACAGGAGGTTTAGGCTGGACATTAGCAGGAATGTCTTCACAGAAAGAGTGATTAGACACTGGAATGGGCTCACACACCGGCCCCGCCCGCCGCCGCCAGGGGGAGCGATGGCGCGCGCCGCAGGAAGCGCCTTTGTCCCGCCGGGACCAACCGCCGGGTCCAACCGCCGCCTTGCCCTGGGCCCCTCCCGCCGCCTTCCCCTTCTCCCTCCCCGCCCCTCCCGCCGCCTCCACCGCCCTTTTGCTTTCGCTTTTTGCCAGCTGGCAGCCGGCGGACCGGCCCGGCCATGGAGAACGGTGCCGTCTACAACGAGACCACCGAGCCGAAGGCGAAGTGGCCCCGCCGCCGCCCCTTCGGCTGCACCCTGCGGCACCTGCCGGGGTGGCGGCTGCCGGCGAAGGCGGTCCAGGCGGTGAGTGCCCTCCTCGCCTCGCGGGGCGTGCCGGCCCTGGCGCGGAGGCAGCATCCCATTGACAGAATGGCTGCCCGGGGCCGCGGGCTGAGCCCGGCGGGCGGCGGGGCGGGGGCGAGCAGCGGGCGGGGGCCGTCGTGGTGCCCTGCGCTGGGATGGAAACGAGCGTGTTGTGATGACCTTCGGGTAGTCTCCCGCCGCTTAAAAATTAAACTCGCTGGCCGTGCACAGGCTTCGTGGGAAGGGCTCCTGTCGGTTAGGAAAGGGCTGGCTCCGCCGGGAAGATGTCCTGACTTGAGACGTGGCCTGGGGTCACTGAAGCTGTGCAGACTTGTAACTCAGGTGAAAAGCCGGCGTGGTGCCTTATAATGCAGGCTCAAGAGTTTTTCGTGGTGGGGAAGTGGCAGGAGTGTTCCTTTTCCATGTCCGAGCTACAGGAGTAGGTGCTGACATCTGATGGCCGTCGGCGTCGTGCGGCCGAGGCGCGGTGCTGCAGCCGGCGTGGTTCAGCTGCCTGTTGGCCTTAAAAACCACCTGCTCTGGCTTAAAATCTGAGGGAAACTTCACAGGAAACTTAGTATTTTTTTCTGAGGATCATTGGATGAAAACAGGATGTAGAAGCCTTTGGTTGAACCTCACAATAGGGCAGCATAACAGGGAAGGGTTTACTGGGTCATGATATCCAGACCTCCCTCTCCTGCTGCTCCTGCAGCCCTTTTGTAAGCCTGTCACTCTGCACTGTCTGTGCTAAAACCAGAGTGCTCACTTCTCCCATAATTTGTGGTAGAAAATTCCACCAGAAAAGTGTACTGTTGATGGTGGCCCACTGCACAAGACATCACTTCATCTCAGGCAGTCCTGGGCCCAACAGGAAATAAAAGGCTTATGTTCTGCTTGCTTTTTTGGTACATGTAATGTTGTTCTTGAACACATTAAGCAGTTGGGCTCGCAGTTCAAACTCCTGTTTGTTCTGTGCTTGCTGATGGGCTCTTCCAGAATGTGCCAGTTTGGCTGCTGCTAAGGACGTGAGGAGCATCATTCTCAAGTACTGGCAGGGAGGTAGTGAAACCAGCAGTGGAAAAGGGCAGTTGACTGTAAGTGTGTGTCACCGTACATTTTGCAGCCAACACAGTGGCTTTTTAGTCAGATGTGTCATGCTCACAGGAATTGTAGGTGATTTCCAACCCTTTCTCATTACTTCGCCAGAGGACATTTAGTTTTTAAACTTCATCTCATACACAGTCGAAACCCTCAACGAAAAACATAATATGCTTCAGTGCTGGTAAAGGTAATGGTAACGCTGCCAAAAATAAAGTTTTCTAAGAGTATTTTAAAAAATCACACCCAAGAATGCTTTCAATAAATATAACAGGACATTAGCTTCATCTGTTGGAGATTAATAAAGTAAGATGTGCTGGCTGTTGCTCCCCGATAAAGAGATCATTTATTTAGGTGGGTTCATTGACTACATCATCAGCATGGCTGGGCTTTGCGAACAAAGATTTGGGAAGGCAGTATCCACATTTGCTACAGGCACGCTGGTGGCTTATGAGGCCAATACGTGACAGACATATCCGATTGCAAAAGGCACAGCAGAAAGACTCCTTAGATGGTGTATTCTGCAAGACACGGTTCTTTCTGCGTTGCCTTTTTTCCTCGAGAGTGATCCTGCGTGTGTTCTCGAAGGAGGCAGCAGCGTTATAGATGGCGTGCCTCCAGGCCTCCCGATTTGAGGCCAGAGCTGACCAGTTATGGTGATCAATAAGGCCAAGGCTGAGATGTTGTTTCAGGGAGTCCCTGTATCTTTTCCTCGGGGCTCCTCTCATGCGGCAGCCAGTGGCAAGTTCACCATAAAGCAAGATCTTAGGGAGGTGGTGGTCCTTCATCCTGGAGACGTGCCCTGCCCAACGCAGCTGCGTTCTCAGTAACATGGCCTCAATACTTGTGACAGCAGCTTGCTCTAGAACAGATGTATTGGTCACATAATCTGACCAGTGAATGTTTAGGATTGTACGGAGGCAGCGTTGATGGAAGCGTTCTAGGAGACACAGGTGGTGGTGGTAGATGACCCATGATTCGGAACCATATAAGAGAGTAGACAGCACTATGGCTCTGTAAACACTGATCTTGGTGCTTTTCTTCAAGTGTTTATTACACCATACTCTTTTGTGGAGTTTTCCAAAAGCACTATATGCCTTAGCTAACCTGTTGTCTATCTCTCCATCGATCTTACCATCTGAGGAGATGAGGCTACCTAGGTAATTAAACTGCTGGACTGATTTGAGCTCTGATTGGCCAATGGTGATATGGGGATGATGGGGGACTTCCTGAGGTGCAGGTTGATGGAGGACCTCTGTCTTCTTTAAGCTGACTTCCAGCCCAAAGAGCTCAGCAGCATCTGCAAAGCAGGATGTTAAACGCTGCAGAGCTGCTTCTGTGTGGGCAACAAGGGCGGCGTCATCAGCATAGAGCAGCTCCCGGACAAGATGGTTTAAGGTCTTAGTGTGGACCTTCAGTCGCCTTAGATTGAATAGACTTCCATCAGTACGGTATCAAATGTAGATACTGTCCTGATCATCGAGGTCTGCCATGGCCCTTTGGAGCATCATGCTAAAGAAGACGGTGAATAGGGTTGTTGTGAGAATGCAGCCTTGTTTCACACCATTCTTAATTAAAAAGGGCTCCGAAAGTGTGTTGCCATATCTGACTTGGCCATGCTGATCCTCATGGAGTGAGATGATCATTTTAAGGAACTTGGGGGGACAACCTAAATGTTCCAAAATCTGCCACAGACCTTTTCTGCTCACAGTATCAAAAGCCTTGGTGAGGTCGACAAAGGTTACATAGAGACCTTTGTTCTGTTCCCTACACTTCTCTTGCAGTTGTCTGAGGACAAATACCATGTCTGTGGTGCTCCTGTTGGCTCTGAAACCACACTGACTTTCAGGTAGAATTCCTTCTGCTATAGTGGGTATTAGTCTGTTCAAGAGTATTCTTGCCAGGATTTTGCCAGCAATGGAGAGCAGAGTAATACCACGATAGTTTGAGCAATCTGATTTAATACCTTTCTTCTTATACAAAGTGATGATGACAGCATCACGAAGGTCTGATGGGAGTTCACCGAGCTCCCAACAGCACACCACAAACTCGTGAAATTACATTGACTACAATAAAATAAGCAATTACATATACAAATTTACCGGTGTACCAAAGTCTTAAAATGTTTAATTATTTATAAAACTTTCTAGGTAGGAAGAAGAAAAATTATCATTCTAATCAGGATGAATAGGTGCTCGATGTGCTCCTAAATAATTAGCAGTTTATGGCCTGCACCCATCTGTCAGTGAGAGGCAAAAGAAGATGGAGTTATAGTTGTTCACCCTCTTAATTGCCAACATTTTTTGCTCTGTTTTTGTAACCCTTTATCAAAATGCACAGATCTGGAGTTACTGGTTAAAACACTTTAAACAAGCCCCCGAAATTCCAGAAGGTGGAAGGAAGTCTCAGTCTCTGTGGTAAGAAAAGGTTCCAGTTTTTGGAAATGCCAGTGATGGTCTTTAACATCTATAACCTTTGTGTTGCAATAGTGGTTTTTAGTGGGATAATCACTCTGCTAAACAGGGTATTGCAATCAGAAAGTGAGCTCTCCTCATTTTAGTGATCAGATGTTTGATAAAATACTGTGAAATCACCTGAAGAAAACTGGTTTCTAGACCTAAGAAATACTTTTCTTCAGATTAATAATGGCATACGTTGTAACCTTAGCCTGTTCTTTTGGGCAGATGAAAGAAGGAAAATGTGACTGCCAAAAGGATGCTGAGAGGCATGTTATTGCATGGGTTTCTAGATTGTTGTTTTGTTTTTAAATAGGTGAAATGTTTTTGTTAGTCCATGACTGGTTCAAATTCTGTGCAAAGGTAAACAGCACAGTGTATATTGTGCCAAGACTGAGGTAGAAACAAATTCTTATCTAAAAGAGAAATCGTCTCGGTCATCACTATTGTTTGTCTTTAACCAAAATGCCCTAACTGGAAAGGAAAATTGTAATTCAGCCCTAAATATCTGCTCTTTTTCTGAGCTGTTCACTTTCTATAGTATTATATATAGTATAGGGTATTAGCAAGTCCACCCATCTGAACTAGAAGATTTTGTGCTGGGAATACCACTGCCAAGCACCTTCACAGGCCTGTTAGCACGTTCATTATCTGCTCTATTTTTGTAGCATTCTTTTGTAGCTTTTTACTTATTAAATCTCCTTTACAAACCTGACACTTGTGTAGAAAATTCCAACATTAATGTCAATATCAATGAATAACTTGATGGTAAGGGACAGATAAAGCTGTTTAATTTCTGGTGTGCCTACAGACAGATAGGACTAATAATAAAATTAAAAAGAACCCAAAACAACTCCTTCTCTAACAATGCTTTTGGTATTTAAAACTATTTTTTTTTCAGTAGGACAACAGAATAATTCCTTTTGTTTCTGATAATGGTATCAAGAAGCAAACTAAGAAACCCAAGCAGAGTTCTCTGGCGTCTTATAAATGTGCTATTGGTACACCAACTTAATCAAAGAACTTAAAGTTTTTCCAGCCAAAGTTTTTTTATTGATATGCTCTATTTTATTATTCAGCTTATTAATAAAAAATTGAACATTGCATTGGACAAGCCCCACACAGGATTCCACTTGATAAATCTCATGTATTTAACACAGAACCGCTTAAAACTGTTCTTTGAGTGGGATTTTTTTCAGCTTGTTCGTACACTCAGTGGTGAGGCTTTTTTCAGTTATTTAGGTTATATTATGGTTATCTGGACTTATACTTCTATTTAAGGATGGGTTTATTTCCTGTCTGTTCTGTTTCAGCCCAGATGAAAGCAATGGCATTCAGTTTTCAGTGCTTATAAAAAGAGATAGCACTACACATGAAAACATATCTCACAACTGACCTTGTGAAAAACGTGAAATTGAAAGTCATTGGACGCAGCTGTAAGCAGATCTTTTTAAATGCAAAAAACCACCATAAAAATGGGAAATTCAGAATTCAAAACATTCATTGGACAGCCATTGTAGTCACAGCTTTAGGTCCGAGGGCTGCTGAGAAGTTTGTGTTGCCAGCCACTGCAGGAGAAAAGGGAAGAATGTGGAGGCCTGGTAGTAATATTGCAGTTTCCCAGCTCAGCTTATTTCCCTTTCGGAGCTCCTATTTACTTTACATGATTGTAGCATTTTCAAAACATCATTCTTTGAAGTGCCCTTCTGAGGTCTGGCTTAGCAGGGGGAATTTACAGTTCCTGCTGCTAAATTGTTGTTCTTGTTTTTACTGTTAAAAAAACTGAAACTGAAGACCAGTGGTTATTTTCCGAGAATTCTGAATTTTAGAATTTGATTTTTTTTTTAAGAACTGTCAACCTCATTATTGCTCATATACTCTTATTAAAAGTATGATCGTCATCCTTATATCATTCTCAATTTTATGACCAAGTCTGATTCCTGTTAATGGTTTTATTATAATTTGGTGAACTCCATACTAAAAGGATCTATAAAGCCGTGTCAACTTTATGGGATGAAGGAAACTAGCAAGAAGTGGCCAAAATAAGAGAACAGTTAAACAGAGCAATATTCTTCCTTGTACAATAAAATAGTAGAAAATCCAGCAGTTATTAATTAACTCATATTCTTTCCTCAAAACATACTGTGGCAGGAAGGTGAAGATGAGCTTCTCCATAGATTAAATATTGTCCAACGTAACTTAAACACAGTTTGAAGTTTTGGTTCCTACAGAAATACTTGAGCTTCTGTCATTAGTGGGTCATAAGCACGAGCTGTTGGCTCCCTGTACTTTCTCTGGAGTTTTATCAAGCAAGGTGGCATCAGCTGTAAACTATTAGGGAGGTAGCTGAGTGTGTCAGTGCTGCCCAGTTTCCCCCAGTTCCCTGAACCCAAATGCATTTAAAACTGAGTGCAGCTGTAAGTAGTAAGGGATAGCATTTTCGCTTGTTCTGAGCAGGATGTGTGCTCCCCATGCTGCCTTCCTCATCTGCTTCCAACTGGCAGTTGCACAAACCCCCAAAACAGGAATCTTGACTGTTAATCCAGAAACCTGTGTTTGGTGGTGTGCTCATCTTACCTGAGTGTAGTTTATCAATCACCATTAGCAGCAAGTGTAAACCATGTCATTATATAATTATTTATGCCTGTAAGAAAATAGTGCAGCATTTTACCAGACTTTTTGTAGATTGAGGATTTTCCTCATAGCTATCTTTACTGATGTTCATATCAGAGATATCTGTTTGCTGAACATATTAGAGGCTTGCCTCAACTCAAGCATGTTATTTGTTTGCAGATTTTCTCCTTTGTGGCTGTTACTTGTGAAGAAATAGTGGAGGATTGCAGCAATTGTGGTGGACTTTACTTCTTTGAATTCACTAGCTGCAGTGCCTTTCTTTTGAGCCTCCTGATTCTGTCTGTGTATTGCACTGATGTATATGAAACACTGGGGGAAGATAAAGTAGAGAAACTGGTAAGGAAATTTATTGTTTTAAAAAACAAAGTGCATAAAGACTGCTGTGGAGTAAAAAGGCTATGCAGAATGAATCTCCTTTTCTTCTCCATTTAAAGAGTAGGTTAAAGTAGTTTATAGTTTAAAAATGATCAAACTTTGAGACTCCCTTTTATATTGACAACTTTTCGAAAACTGTCACATTGGCTACCTGCAGGATTTTAGGATTTGTGTGAAAAAGTCTTTCACACAGACTAATACTGCTGTATAGCCATCACATATATGTATATAGACAGAATAAAGTTCACTGCCAGCATGATGCTTGTAATTTATCAGTTTACCCTCTCTATTTTCCTACTGGATGTAGCCTACCTCCTTTTTGGTAATGATCATACTTGTAAAATATTTGAATGAGCACATTTACTTACAAGTTTCTAAATTCCCAAATCTTTTACATAGGGAATAATGCTAACATGGTTGTTCTGAGGTTGAATTTGAGTGTGAAAAAAGTTAGGTGAAATTAATTAAATACTTAAAACAGACAAAAATGAGGGAGACTTAAATATCTGATAATGTTGTTTAAATAGCTGATAATATTGAATGTAATTTGGAATGTAATTGTAAAATATATTTTCTGAAGATTCCATTAGCATGAAGTTTCAAAACATAAATTCACAGGCGGGTTAACTCAGCTGCTGTTATGATGTTCTCTTCAGGTAACCCATCTACAATTCCATAATGTTTTTTCTTTATATTTGCAGAATTTTTGGGCCATGCCAGTCATAGCTGCCTGGTTTGTGTTAGCATCAATAGTGTTTGCTCTGACCAGCTCTGGCTCTGCTGTTGAAAGTGCTGCATGTGTAAGTCTTAAAATGGCAGGATTTACTTTGTATTTATCTGGTATGTTAATTTCTCTGCCCTCTTAACTTCACTCAATTTGCAGGGAAGAAACTGGGCAGGGAATAGAACTCAGTGTATTGTGATGTTTCAGGGGGAATTAACTATTTCATAACTTCCAGAAACTTAACATAGGAAATCCAAACAGCAGGCATTCCTAAGGATTGCTGGAAATCTCTGTGTGTACTTGCAGCTCCCCAGCATTTTCCTGCTGGGAAGCTCTCTTGGATTTATTTTCTGTCGTCTGTTGTTGTTTCAATGTTGTTATCTTTTGCAGCTTCCCCAGTTTTCTGATACCCTGCTTCTGAAATTCCTTTTTTCCCCTCAATTGTCCTGTCATAATGCCACCCACTTACAAAGTCAGCAAGAAACTGTGTCTTTTGCCACATGTTACAAAGCATATGTGGACAATGCTGACTTGCAAAGGCTGCAATAAGAGCAGCATTTTCCTCAGTGACAGAAATAGTCAGGGCATGCAAGGCACTGAAGAGGCTTTGGGATGCTGTGGATGTCATAATTCCTTAGTCATTTGGCACTTCTTTTGAATAACCTTGGAATTGTGAATATGTTAGTTTAAAACATCAAATTTTGATTTCATTCTTGAACAAGAAAGATTAGTTACAAAAGAAAGCAAGATAATTCTGTTCCACAGGCAGGATGAGGTATTAGAGATGCACACATTTGTATAGTTATCTTCTGTGATGTTCATATATTTAGACCTAATAGTTTCAGTATAAAGTCTTTCACGTTTGGGTTTTTTTTCTGGTGCAGGAAAAATAAAAACTACTGTGATTTAATACTTACTAGTGTCAAACTTCTTTAGACCAAACCAGTTGTGTAAAATTTAGGTAGAGTTAGAATAGTGCATGTTTCTTTCCTAGTTTGAAAGAAGCAGCTAATAACAGCTTTCTCCTTACCACTATCTTGCCAAGACTAGTAACAAAATGTCATTCACAAAATGTCTTTTTGTTCTCCCTTGCTGACCCAGTAAGGACTTGTGTAGGGTCTACAGATCTCATCTCCCTTCACCTTCCATGTGTTGCTCTTCTTCATTTACTCTCTTCAATCAGCAATCATCTCTTGGATAAATACTCTGCTATATCACCAATGCCATACTGCTTTAGTAACTGATTTTTGGCAATAAAATTAATATATTTTTATTATTAAGGGCTGTTTAGAACACAGTATAGAGTTCACATGTGATTAAAAGAATGAAAACAGTAAAAAATTCTGCATTAAATGTGCTAGAATTATGAATTCTGATCTGTTTCTAATTTAAATGGAACTATCAATATAAGGAGGACTGTAATCTTAATATGTAAGTGTTATTAATGTATGCAAATGGTCCAGCAAATCTCTCCAGACAATGTTAGGATACTGTTACTGTTTTTATGCATTTTTAAAATCACATATTTCTTTCCCTTTCACAGACATTTGGATTTCTTGCAAGTATTGCATTTGTAGTTGAATTTGTTATACAGCGCATTCACAGGCGAAAACAAACCGTCGCGGGACAATCTGAAAATCCTCGTAACACTCCGAGAGCCACAGAAAATCAGCCATTGAATAAACAAACCTAACTTCCAAAATTTTTTTTTTTTTTTTTTCTTTTAAATGGAGCAAACTTAAATGAACTTTCAGTGCACTGTAGGTAACAACTTCTGTCTCTTAATTCTAATTAATTTTGTACATATTGCTCATCAAAATTTTGATAGATCCCTAGGTCAAGTAATGGCATCTTGAGCACAATGTTCTAAGGTAACTGGTCCTGCTTAATGACTGGTCTTGTCACCTGCCCAGGTGACATGCACTAAAAAACCTTGAGTCTAACTAAAATAACTTAAGGACAACACACAATCAGTGTGCTGATTTGATTTTGGCAGAGGTAACTAAAAAAGGTTAATGTCTGAGGCATAAATTCTGATATATAGCCTAAAGATATTTCCTGTATAAATGGACCAGATGCTTCTGTTATGAGTTATAAATTAGAACAGCAAAATTCACTTTTGTACTTAATCAAACTAAATGTGAAAGGGATACCTAGTTGGAACCTTACAGAAATGCTTATCCTTACATAAGGGGGTTTGGGTTTTTTTACTATTCCTGTGTCTCTGTTCTGTCTGTGGAGATCAGTTTAATGGAATAGTGACTGTAGGGGCTTTATGGGGAGGGTAATGTAAATGGTATATTAAGGAGACAGTTTTGCACCCCATGATTGTCAAAGTTTGGACTTGTATACCAGAAGCTTCTTTCAGATGGTTTGAAAAGCTATAAAAGTTGCAGGAAGAAACTTGAAAAGCCACCTGGGGGAGGAACATGATAAAGAATAGATATTTTCATGAAGTAACCTCAAAAGTAGAAATCAGAGTATCAATGGGAAAAACCTAACAGCCCATTGGTACTATCCTGGTGAATGTTGCTTGCAAAGTTAATACATATGCAGCTTGTCTATGCACAGATAATGCTAAGTTCTGCCAGAATGGTCATGAACCTTACTATTTTCTGCTACTGACTAGCTCAGTTGGTAAACAAGCATTTTTATCCTCGATTTGTTTTGAAAGCGACAGTCTGTAGGTCTGCAAGAAACATTACTGATACGACAGGTATCAGACAAGTGATGGATGTGTCAGACCAGATGTTGATGGCTGTAAAAAAAGCATTTTTCAGTTGTCTGAGGTAGAAGCAAGATGCTACACCTCTCCTAAGAGGAAAGCCTTCAAAAGCAGAGCAAATTGCTGTAAGCCAGGAGACATTCCAAAATACCAAAGCAAATGAGAAAAAGCTGATTATGCAAAAACAGTTCTTGTTTGAATGCTCATGACATTTGCCATGTCTTAAGTCCATTTCATCACTACCCTAGTCTGACATGTTCATAGTCCTGTAACCTGTTGTGGCAGCATTGAGACTAAGCCCCCCAGAAACTGGCTGAGCAAGGTGTGTTTGGGAAAGGAAGAAGAAGCTGTTGTAAGACAAAGGACTGTAATAGCAGATCAATGATTTTGTTTTTCCATTGCTGCCACTTTCTGATGAATGTGAGTTTGTGATGTTCTCCCTCTATGGCCTGAGACTTAAGCCTAACACTACGCTTTGCTTGGAGGATGTAAAATTTTGACAGGTGGTGTGAAGCACCAAGTTAAAGCTGTAGCTTGGTTTCAGACCTATGGATGAAAGAGACATTTCCTTCATAGAATTTCCTCTACTGTAAAAAGAAGAAATGCTCTTCAGACTGGCTTTTTTCCCCTTGTATTTATTAGTCTTCATTTGCACTAAAACCTGATCTTAGAGTAGGTGTACAGAGCTGTAGCTGTCTCTGATAACTGTGTAGCCTAGAGCTGGTTTGTTTACAAGTGGTGTTACTGATGATACAAAATATCCATAGTGAGAAATATCTCTGCTATGATCTGCAATGTCTTACTTTGGGGATCATGCCTACCTGATTAACATTCAAAGGGGGGGGGGTCCCATTTTTTTTCTTATTGCCTAGGATTCTACTGAATTTGCTTTCACATCAAAATGTCTAGTCTCTAAATCTTCATCTGTAATGAATAGCTGTAAATATAGTGTAAGAGCAACACTGTGCTGCTGATATTTATTGAGCAATGCGGCACCATGGCATGACTTTTATCTTGAGGTAATTTTTTCTGTAATTTTTCTTAGCTTGAAAATATGTTACTAGAGGTCTGGGTTTTGCTTGCTTTTTCTATAGACTTTTCCCCACCTAAAGTGCTATGTTGCTGGTGTCTGTTCCTGAACTGGAGACACTGGTACCAAAAGGGATCTGTAAAGTCATCTCTCTGCCTTGGCAGTTTACTTAGCAATAATCTGTCACATAGTAGTTAAATACTACAAGCAAGTCACATATTGGTTATAGATTTAAGGCAGTTGCTAAATTGTTGCTTTCAAAACAGTTGTTGGCTAACATGCATGGTGGTAGTGTTAATCCTAGGCTCCTCATCAGGTGTTCTTTTCTTAATCCTAACAACTCATAAAGTGCTCTTTTTGTTCTTTTTTTAAGTAGTTGAGAAGCAGGTTTGGTAGTGTGTACGCTGTTCTCTGCTTCTGTTAGGTCATTTTCTTAAATGCTTTATCAGCTTCCTATAGCTTCTTAGCTTTCCTTATCACTCCTTGCTCCTCTGCCCTTCCAGGCTAGGAGGGGGAGAGGCTTTCTTGCTGCAGTGGCTGAGCAGATTGGTCTGCTGCAGTCTGGACATGCCCCCATTGATGCTTCTGGTGTCAGGTGCTGACTTTATATGTCTGCCTTTTAATTAGACTGATCCTAGAGAATGCCACTGGAGACGCATTAAATGTCTGGTTCTGCAGGAGCTCTGTGTGTGTGGCTGGATGTCTCTTACCCCTCCCATGCTCTGTCAGCAAAGTGGTTTGCTTGTTTCCCACCCTGCTTCTGATGAAATCAGCCTACCTTATTTAAACCTCCTATTTAAATTGTCTCCATTAAGGTGGCTGATTTTGCTTAAGTGGTTTAGGAATTCTTAAGAAGAGTGGTGGGAACTCTGGTAAAAGTGCTGTTAGAGGCAACTGTCTCAAATTTCTTCTTCTTTTTGCAAAGCAACCATCTCTGTACACCATAACTGGTAGTAAAACCTGTGGAAAGAAGCAACTGTCCCAGTACATCTGTCTGGGGATTGTCTCCTCCATTCTTCACCACAGTGCTTGGCAGTGGTGTTGCAAGCCTGCTCAGACACATAAAAGCTTTAGTGTTTTCCAGCTGAGCACATCCAAAAATATTTAAAGGTTCTGCACCCACTTTCAGGCTTTGTTTACAGTGCCTTGAGAATCAGTGGAGAGGATTCTCCAGGACATGTGAGGACTTGCTCAGTGGCTGGACTGTGAGCTTCTTCTCCAAAAATCTGCATTGGGCATTATATAGATTGTTAATTTTTGTTTGGCATTTAGCCCTCATTAAAATCACAGTGCTACCAGTGCTGTGTGGTTCTGAGTATGGGAAGGAATTGTGCCTTACTGCCTGCACTCTGCTTCACAATAGCAGGGAAGGGTTGTGGTCTGTTACAGCCGAGTTCTACCTTTGCACCTTCCAACCTGGAAGAGCAGTGAGTGATCTCACGCAAATCTCAGAGCTCGGCACAAGATGTTTTTGCATAATGGCTGTCACGGTAATCCTCATTCAAATTTGTGCACTAAAAATACCAAGCTTTCTACACTGAAGGGAAATATTTTTATGAAATTTTTGAAAGGTTCTGTAAAATTTTAATGAATCAAGATGCTGGTGGTGCCTTTAAGATGGAAATTCATCTCTGTTTTAGTCTATTGCTGTAAACATAAGCAGTTCTCTTGATATTAAATGTTATGCTGGTCAGAACTTAAGTGATTTTTAATGTTTATGAAATCATGATGATAATACAATGATTTTATATATAATAAAAATTTTATACAATTTTGTTCCCAGTGTTGCCTTGAATTTCCATCTAAATAATTCTGAAATGCTTAAATTCTTTTCCCTTTTAAACCTGTGATCTTTTTTAATGTATTATGCTTTCTTGTTCTAAAGAACTTTATAAAATATTTTGTAATAATTTTTAAAATAAAATATTAGTAAATAAGTGTTTCTTGTTTTGGCTTCTGTGATTTGGTGTTGCTATGTAGTTCTCCTAGAGCCAACCATAGGAAATAACATCATTCTTTGTTCCTGGTTTGGAGGAAAGAGCTCGCATTGTGTTTGCTGGTTAACTGGGGAAGAGGGTCTAACTTGCAAAGCTGGATGTTCTCACGGAGAGCTCCCAGGAGAAAAGGTCTGATAAGGTCAGTATTGCCTCTGACGTTAGGGGCCAGCCAAACTAGTTTGCAGTAGCCTTTACATACCCTGCTCTTTAGGTTACTGTGACAAGCATAATCCAAGTGCTGCTCTTTCCTATTGACTACATGGATCTGAAAAAAGCGAAGTGGCAGACTTGCTAAAGGAAGGAGCATGACCTAGCAAAAGGTGTTGAGTGCAAACAATTTATTCTGGTGTAGAAAAATGCAGGTGACCAAGTGACTTGGTTGAGGGAGAGCCGCTGGATACTTTAAATATTGTTTGGCTCATTATCCATGATAGGAGGTGAAGAAAAGGAAATAAACTTGCATGCTTTCTGGCAGGGTAGTGCTTTTTTTGTCTCATAATCCTATTTGCCTATTACCTTGTGGTCACCTGGTACACAGGAGGAGAATGCCATTTCCTTCATTGTCAGCACTGAAATTGGAATGCCACAGTATATTTTCCTTGTAAATGTTAAAGGTGACATTGTCTCTGATGAAGTTGCCAGAGATGGGTGTATCTGTAAGGATTCATAAGGGAAAAAGGTCCCTAATGCTTTTTAATTACATTTGAAAACTAAATGCAAGAAAACAATTGAGGCAAAATGTTGTATTAAAAGGGTACGTCAATGGTGGATTTACACACCATGAGAAAGTAACTCAGAAGTCCTAGATTTAATAATTCCAGTCATGACCACGCACTTTAAGTCATGGCAACTCCTTTCTCAGGCGTGTAATCCAAACTAGGTTACTGTAAATTATCAGAATAGTGCAGCAAGGCAGAATGTGGGCTGGTAGTCTGTGGCTTTTCTTTGTGAGTGCACAGGCACCACCTGGTCACTGCCGTCTGTCCATCCTTAGTTCAAGGCACGTATGTGTTTCCTTGCTTTGGGATGGGTTTCTCCTTACAGTGAGGAGCACAACTGGCCACCTGCTCTATCACAGAGCTGCCATAGTGCAGGAACCAAGCAAGGTTCACTGCTTGGCTGGTCTTTGGGTGTGACTGCTCTTCGGATTCGGAATAGCTACTCTTTGCCTGCTGAAGGAAGCACAGGGAAAGCCTGCAGTGTATTTGGAATGGTTCGTGCCATCTGCACAGGAACCTGCTGAGAAGCTGCAGGAGGGAAGTTTGCCCACAAGAGGGCAAAGATGATCCTTGATTGAAATTATTTGATCTGGAGGGCTTCACCCTCTTCCCACCTATATTTTCAGTGGAACTGAACCGCCTCGTGCCCTCTCTTGTCAGTGTGGCTATAAATTAACCGTTCATTAGAGGGATACTGTTTCCAGTCATATGCTTATTTTTCAAAATGTAGCTTGAAGGTTTTTGGTAATATAATCAGGTCAATATTGTCTCAAACAGATACTTTACCTGAGCAGTTTGAAAGGGTTTTACCTGTATTCCTTTTGGTTTGTAAGCTGTCAATAGATGTTTTTAAAAATTCAAGTTGAGCTTCAGCTGTGTGGTGATGCCCACCACCTACAGCACTGTGCTGTGGCACTGGAGATTTTTGTGGTCCATGCTGCACTGTGGTTTTCAATGAAATGTGGATCATTTGCGGGAGAAGAAAGGAGCGGGGAGTACCTGAGCATTTCCTGGACTCTTGGAAAGTTAAATGAGAGAAGCTTATTATCCAAAAATGTAAATTATGCATGTGAGAAAAAAATCAGGGCCCACAACCAGAAATGTTGGCAAACATAGCTGTAAAGCGTGCCAGACAGGACTTCTTGCAATTCTAGTCCTCTTCAGGCATCCCATTGAAACCTGCTTTGAGCAGCCCACGTGCCCTGATCACTTACTCAGTTTGTTTCTTATGACCTATTGTCTCTTGGCTAAATTATTGGTGGGAAAACAAACCAGACTTGGCTGTTTTGAAGTTGGCAAGTCCTGAGGTGAGAATCAGGGCTTCACAGGAGGTGACAGCATAAGCACATGCTTCAGTAGCATGACTCATGTGCAGCCAGAGAAGGACAGCAAATACCCAGTCAGGTGTGTGTTGCTAGATGTGCTGCATGAAAGCATGTACTATTCTGCAGTGCTAAGCTTGGGGTGTACTTCAGAGCTCTCTTTTTAGTGCTCATTTGGACTTACTGAAAGCATAATGTTGTAAGACAAAAAGCATGACAAGTTTTTTGTTACCATATGCTCTACCCTTGCTTAGAGAATGGTGCAATGCTCAAAATAATGCAAGTCTGTCTGCACTGCAGCCCTCCTTTTAACTACTTCCTTTGCACCAGCTGTCGCTCTTCCAGAAATATCAGTGCGATACAATTCTGAAATCCCCGTTCACGTTGAGCTGTAGGTAAGGAAGGGACAGTTACTTAATTGTTCTGTGGTTTCTGCGCTCCACTAACCAAAGGTGTGGAGCTGGTATCCTGGTATGAGCAGCAAGGCATCCTCAGCAAGAACAGACTCACCACTCCTATTGTCATTGTTAACACCTGTTTTCACAGTCTCTTTTGCCTGTCTGCTCTGTTTCAAGTGCTTCAGATCACTGGGTTTTGATGCTCACATCCTCTTTGATGCTTCCCATTCCTCTACCTGAAATCTGAACTAAACCTCCCTATCAGTGCAATTCATAGCAACAAGAGCTTTGGCTAAAGCTCTGCCTGCTAGTTTCTCAAAACAGCTGGGATAAAGTGGCTATAGAGGTCTGTCTATCTGAGGGGGTACAATACAGCTCTAGAAACAAGTGTCTCGTTAACGTAAGCCTGTTTTGTCCCTCACAGTCCTTTTGCTCAGAAAGGCTCATTTTATGAATGAACCAATGTTGTCCTTGACTTGATACAGTTTTTTTTCTAATTGTAAACACTTGTTTCTGGCAATTGTGCCTCTCATTGGAGGGTAACAAGGGCATAATTATTCAGCTCTCATGCATCACAAACTGCTGAGCATGAGGTATTAATGGAGTGCTTTGCTGCCACCATAGCTTAATAGCTACAGCTGCAGCATTGTGCTCTTGTTTGGCAGGGGTTCGTGAAAAAGGGGGATGCAGATCATTAAGTTTTATGTTAAAAGTGATTTACAGATGTAGAAATAACAGTAGACTGTGCTAGATGGACAAAGCACTTCTGATTTAAAAGGAGCTATTATACCAGCAGAACTGTGATTCATACTCATGGTGGGACAAAGCCACCAGCACTAGTCCACCTCATATAACCCCCAATAATCTTAATAAAAGAAAGCTGTATTAGTGTATTGTGTGTGCTGGCAGGGCTGTACTGGGGGAGGAGGGGGAATCATACCCTACCATCACAGCTGGCCTGCAGATGTAATAGAAGGAAGCTGCAAATGGATGCTTTTGGGTAGCTACAGGCTGTGAGGTGACAACAAACTCCTAGCCTTGTCCCTTCCCATCCACCCAGCAACAGTGAGATACCAGTGCTGGAATTAAAAGGTGGGTGTTGCCACAGCTCCACAGGGAAAATTGAAAGGGGGTCTCTCCTCAGCTATACCCTTACATGTTCCAGCTGAGTGGCCAAGCACCCCTGGTAGATGATGAAGAGGCACATCGAGAGAATGAATCAGAGGGAAGGGTAACTCCTGCACTCTGAATCACTGCTGCTTTAATTCACTCTTGCCCTTCTCTTTCTTCATTGAATTTGCAGGGAAGAGTGGCTGGGTATTAAGGCTAGTCCTGGGCAAAAAGGCCCAAGACACACTGTGCTTTTTCCTGTAAAAATAGGTGCAGAATGAGTGCTGTCTTCAACTTCCTAGTCTAACCTTGTATTGCTGAAGGGTTAGGTGCCTCTGAGTCTACACCTGTGGAGTTTTCTTCCTTTAGTGTCTAGAGTCTTGCTGCAGTTTCTCCTATGCCAAGAGGGCTGCCTGTCTTCTGTTGCTCTTTCTGCACAAGTGCAAACATGTAAGAAAAGAATGAGTGGTTCAGACATACTTAATTTAGCAATGACTCTACATTAGTGGCTTGAGGATATCCACCCCTGCGGGGAAGAATGCCCCACCACCCTGCTTGGCCTACCACATCATTGACACAGTTGCCAACTCCACTTCAAAAGCTGATGTAGTCTTCTTGGCCTTTCGGTAGCCCCTTCATCAGCCACAAAAAGATGCAGGTGTTTCCTTCACCACCACAGATTTCTTTTTTCTGCACATACCCACACACGCAAAGCACAGAGCACTCAGCCTGTTCCTTTTTGTCTGTGCTGTTCCCCGTTTTCCCCAGGTGCTTGGCTTGCTGCACATTTGCCTGTCTGCCTTTGCATGGTCCCAGCCTGTGGGCACACCTCTCTGGAGTCACCCATGAGAATGGCTCTGAAGGTGATGTACATGGCAGTGCCTCTGAGCACCTGGCAGGCCTGAAATCACTTCAGGGCCAGTCAGAGTAACCTGGGGGCTTTGTAGCACCGAGTGTTGGCACCTGTGCATTGCTGTGTCACTTGACACTGCTGGCAGAATTTCTTGTCACAGTTAAGAGGGCAGGACTGCTGCTCTTTTGCTAATGCTTTAGAGGTTGCATTTTATTCCTTTCAAATGATTGCTTAGTGTATTGCTGTTGTTCTAGGTCTGTAAACATCTAAAGAGCAATAAATCATATTACATGATCTTGGGCACTCTGAGTTCAACTCAGTCCAATCCAGGATTAACAAAAATGCGTTTTAATTGGAGTAAATTTATCTATATCCTAATCCTTTCTTTTGCTTCAAAAGCTCTGGCCTTCATGGCTGGCTAATGCTCTAAAGGACATACTCTGCTCAAACACACCTGAGAGTCAGTTGGCATTTACACAGTGACAAAACTGCTTTTGAAAATATTTATCTTGTGTGCCTTTCTGTAAAGCTGTAGTTCAGCAACATGCAAAGCCAAGGTGCTGCTGGAGGTGATGTTATGTTCAGGGGTTGATACAAAAACACTAACCCAAGGAAGAGCACTGTTCTGAGCTGCTCCCTCAGGAAAGGTCTGGTAGTGCTGCTACTCTGCAGTGCTCCCTTGATTTCTGGCTTCTTCATCTGCACTTTCTTTCCTAGCTCTTCCCTCATTCCTCACCACCCCAAAAGGCAGGGTTCTCCTCTGCCTCCATTTTATAATGCCTTCCTATCACACTGCTGTTCCTCACAACATGTATCAAGCAGCCACAATATCGTGCCTTTGGCTACTCAACACTGGCTTCTTAAAGCCAAGCTTTCACAGCACTAAGACAGAAAAATTGCAAAGATTTTGGTATCTAAATTCTGCCTCCATGTAAAACTGAAAGCTCGTGTTGGCAGTCACTTCACCCTTGAGGCAGGAAACTCCTGTGATGCTGTAACCTTTTTTAAAAATTTTTTTTCTTCTTTATTTTTCCTAACTTTCAGTCTTCCTACCTGTGTCAAGTGCTGCTCCTGGGCATGGCCAGACAATTTCACTTTTACTGTCAGAGCAGCTCAGACAGAGGTAGAGGTTAAAAAAGCAGACAGATTTATTTTTTTTTTTTGCCAACTGCCCCAAGGCAGAGGGACTGGTTCAAGCAGGCGATGAGAGCTTGTTTGATGCTTAATAAATTAGCAAGTCATTTACACAGTAAAACAGTGCAGATATGAGATAATAAGAGGATAAACCATCAGTTATTTAGAAATATGGCCTTTTTTTAAACTTTTATGCAAGCCCCTGGATGGTGGGAACCCAGAGTGTACTGGTCAGTCCCTAGTAATAAACTCCAGTGTGTACTTGCCATACTGGCCATGAGAAACCAGAGTGCTGACCCAGGGGACTAGCTGGGGCTGAGGGACTCTGGGCTCAGGAACAGGCAGAAAAGAAATAAACTCTGGAGTAACCAGTTGTGGGTAATCAGTGACCTCCAGAAGGGACAGACAGGAGCAGCTAACAGCACTTACTGCTCTTCCTGTTTTCCAGCTGCTGTTGTGCTGGATAAAAGTAATCATCCTTCTCCAGGAGAGGAAGATGACACGCACCAGAGTGACTTTCTGACCTGCTTCCATGTAGCAGGGTTAAACAAGCCCTGGGACCAGGGACTGAAAGCAAGGGCTGCCTGTTCCCAACAGGATGACCTCACAAGTGTGCAGCCCTGTGCATCTGCAGAGGAGCAAAAGGTAAGCCAAGGGCACGGCACTTGCACTTGCACTCCAGTCTGAAACCTGAAACAGCCCCAACAGAGGGGTTGCGTAAGAGTACCACAGAGGTTTGTGGTGAGAGCTCTTTCTTGCCACGTGGGTGTGAATCCCTGCAGGCAGAAAGAACAGGATGTGGGCCTCCCACAGACCCTTTCTCTGGTACACACCTCCCCCCATCTCACACAACCAGCAGCACATTCAGAGTCAAGCGCATCAGCAGGACCCAGCAATATGTAACTGCAGCTCTCCCTGGCTTTCGGATTGCACTCAGTCTAAAAGCAGGTCTGTACTTGGCCCCAGGCTGGAGGGATGGCCAAGGCCACTGGCCAGCACACAGCTTCAGCAGCAGCATTTTGCTTCATGCTGTCCCTAAGAACAGTGGGGCCCTGAGCAATTTTAAGTTAAACAAGGCAGAGCATGTGGCAACTTGATGCCATGTTCCACAGCCTCTATGTCAGATCTCGTGCATCCTCCTGCAGCTTTAGCAGAACATGAAAATGCCAGACACAGGCTATGAAGTGCAGACAAGCAGTAAAGAGACTTTTCTATCACTCCAGGCAGGTTTGTCCTTTAATTACTGAAACAGCCAGAAACTGTTGATATCTGACACCATTTCTATTAGTGCATAATGGACTCACATTAGTTCCTCCCCTCATGGGCTCTCTACTGATGTTAGCACCTGATCTTCCTTCTTGCCTGCTCTTTTTTTTCCTAAGTTCTTAGTTGTCTTCCCTGAGCATCACTTAACATCCCCTGCCACACACACATACACACAACCAATTAAAAGTTACTATCCTCCTGTCCTTCCAACCCCCGCACAGTGATTTGTTTCCAAACAGTGCAAAACACAACCATTTCTCAACAACAGAAAAAGTGTGCAGGCTGTCACATAACCTGCAGTGTCTTCATCCAGCACCGTGGTCCTCAAGCTTTTCAAAGCCACCCTTCCTCTTTTTAAAAAAGTTTCATTTCCCCTTCTCATTTTCCCAGTTTCTCCCTGACAAAACCACTATTCACTTTCTAACTTATCTCAAGCCCCCAGTATTCAAAAATGAGGGTTTTTATTTTCAGAGTATGAAACAGTTTGTATGATTTTTTGTTTGTACCAATTTTTTTCTCCCAACATTTACATTTTAATTTTTCAGTAAAAACCGAACCCCAAAATCTATCAGTGTTAGCTCAAAGGATACACTCCACTCATCTTGGAGCTGAAGGGGATGGATAACTTTTGTGTGGGAGAATTGGAAACCAGCACATCCAAACAAAACAGCAGGGGATGAGGCTTTTGTGGCTTCTGCCTATTGTCCTCCAGTTACAGGCCGTATTCTGACACTCCCCAGAAAGAAAGTCACTGCTGCAGTAGAGGACAGAAAAAAATGAACAGGACAACAATCTGATTTTCTACATTACCCAAATAGCTAACAGAGTTAGAGTTTATTTCTAAAACATCTGGAATCCCATATTTGACAAAGGTGCAGACAGATGGAGCTTTCAGAACCAGGCTGACACTGAGGGAAACTTGAAACCCTTTTGCTGGCAGAGCTATAGTAGAGCGGTGCCGAATTCCCTGCCAGATGGAGCTGTCATTCAAAGATGCCTGGTAGAGCTGGTGATACCAGAAAATCTGTGCTTGTCTTGGTAGACATGCTTAACAAGGAGGATTTGGGGGAAGCAAGGAAACTCTGGCAGCAGAGATGTCAGTTTTCCAGCCTGAAAGCATCCCACATTAAGAGCATATGGTGGGTCTATAGACCCAGCACTGTCATAACAGCAAACGCTGCAGGCATACCTTAGTCCTGTTGACAGGCACAAAAACCAAAATGGCACCTGTAGCTTATTTCTCTTGATCCAGTATAAACAAGTGCACTTGCAGCAAAACATGTTCTTTGGATGATCACAGAGCATAGTTCAGAAATTCTTTGGTTGTTAGACTGCATGAAATTCCATGATTTTTTTTTTTTCATTCCATATGCTGACAAGTGACAGAGTGATGTGAGAGGCTGAAAAAAAATGCTAGTGTAGTGCCAGGAGAAAGGGCATCATTCCAGAAGAAAGTGGCAACACCCTTTTCTTCAGAGCAAGTTCAGACGCCAGTCCCAATCCGTAGCAGGTGCTTCTCCCTACTACCACTGCAGCACTGAGGCCTCAGCTGCATTCACACCATCTGCAGCAGAACACTGGTTTACCACAGGATTGCCAAGTGAGGTTAAAGCTTTTAGGAATGTTTCTACTTTCTATCTGAGGTGATATCTCAGGAGGTGAAGGAAAAACAGTGCACATATCGTTCCTCCAGGGGAACAGAAGACGGGAGTATCCTTAAATATCTATCATATCAGTCCAAATTACAGTCAGAGTGCTGGTTTCCAAAAACTGTAGTTAAGTCAGTCTTGGCAGAAGGACTGGTGATCCAAGCACCCCTGTTGCAAAAAATGACACATACATATATATGTGTGTGTGTGTACCTTCTTCTGCAGATATGTTCACTCCGATGTCCTAGAATGAAGTCCCTTGTCCCATACAGCCATTTGATTGGTCCTGTGCTGGCAGGGCAAGGAAGCTACACTATCACTGATGCTGCTAACAGGGATTTCTAGCTCAGAAGAATGTTTGTTCTCGTAAGCAAGAGAGTCTTTGAGGCATGCTCAATTCAGGTTGTTAAAAATAAAAAAAACCCACCCTATTTCTGACCAAACACAAAACATCATCTGAAGGTATGGGGCAGAAAAGCAGGCCAGAGTTGGACATTGTAAAGAAATAAAAAATAGTCAATATGCAATCAGTAACATTATAACTGCCTGTTTAGTTTTATTTGAATAATCCTCTATATTAATGTTAAAGCAGTTTCAAATTGTTTGTTGCTCTGTGTTGCTGTAAATAGGGCACTTATGAAAAGGAATAGCAAGAAGAATCACAGAAGCTGTGCACCTTTAGAAGGGGGATCTGCTCAGTTATTTTCATTTACTTACTCAAAATTGTTGATACTTAAGCAGTTGGCCAATTTCTCTTGCCTAAGAGCTAAAAAAAAATTCTAAGTAAAGATACACATATTGGGATGGGAAAAAAAAAAAAAAGGTGATAACAAACAGCAATTGTGTTGACCTGCTACAAGGCACAAAAAGAATTTTCCAAGAGGACCATTAAATTACTTAGCAGTATTGATGCGGAATTTCAAAAGTACATAGCAGGCCAGAAAATGCTTTTTCCTCCAGATTGTCCCTGGTAAACTGTATAAATCCTACTTCTGCTTCACCACCATGCAGTTGTCTTGACAGAAGAAACCAATATATAAGTACAAGCTCTACTTCACAGCTAGACATGAAAGGAGAAGCACCAAGGAGGAGGAGGGGCCTGCGCTTCCCTTTTTCCTGCAAAGAATTTCCAGGTCTCCCAAGATGGGCTACAAAAAGGAAAGAGAAAGGTACCAAGAAGGAATTGTCTCAGCATTGAAGTTACATAGAACTTCATGATCATACCAGGTTGGACAAAACTGAACTGTTCTGTCTGTCCAGGCTCTGGGCAGAGTCTCCAGGAGCATGGATTCCAGCTGAGGCAGAGGAAGGGACACACCACATGTAAGAGAAAGCAGCACAATGGGCTTTCCATAAACACTGTTAGGTTCCAAAGAGAATAATTTAAGGGAAATGCACAGAAATTTTCTACAGAACAGGTCTTACTGTGAAAAGAAAAAAAAAGATACAAAACATTAAACATATATTCTTGGGTACATATTTTCCTGTATTTGGCAAGGGAAAGTTTTTAAGAATAATCTTTGATTGCTAATATCCTGTAAAAATTCATGGAGGAAATCCTCGATTTTATCATGTACTGTTGGGGCTAGGAGGGAGTGTTTGCAGTGATGTATTCAGGTTGCAGTTCATAATTTTTTATGCTGACTGAGCTGATATTAGAAAAAGTCCATAGTTCTGATAGAAAGAGGTAACAAAGACTTGGGTCCATGTATCCAGGCACAAATTAGTTTATGACAGTTCCTTTAACAAATCATCCTTGGAAGTTAAGGATCAGGTAGGAATTTGCAGGACTTCCCTTGTGTAAACAGATGGAGAAAATCAGAAGCAATTTTTCTATCCCTCTGAAAGGAGAACCAAACGACTGTCCAAATGAGTTTTAAATGCACTTATTGCAAATAGCTGGACATGACCACAGCCCAGCTTGTGAGACAAAAGTTGTCTTTCTCCAAAACAAGCAGGCTCTCCATTATAAACTTCTTTGGGTGGGGAGAAGGGAGGGGAGCAAAAATACTTTGGTTCACAACATTGTTTTGCATAGGCATTCAAGTAGATCTTCCAAAGCTACCAGCTGTCCAGGCTAGTAACATAACACCCATGCCCCCTCCTCGGTAGTGGACGCTCCTCTTTGGTATCCTATTTTGTAAGGCAGACATCTTGCACAGATGATGGAGTCACACAGATGCATCTTTGAAAAGGAACAAACAAATTAATCTAGTTTATTAAGGAACACACTGGAAACCTTCTTTTGGTAGGCGGTAGGGGAGGGAGAAAAGAAAGTGTTGATAGATTCAGTATTTGCAAGAAGCAAGTTATTTTGCTCTTGTAGTTATTTGTTTACAGCTCTCAGTAGCTGTGATACCTCTGTGTTGACAAAAAATATGGAGTTACTGGTTCATGAGTAATTTTGAGTAACAACAACCAAGACATTAATAAATCCTTTCAGGTAGACACAGCCCTCTGGCAGAAAATATAAATATTCATTTTGGGAAGCATTCTGGCAGTTACTAAGCACGATACTTACTTGTTGACTGCGTGATGCACGAAACCTTGTAGGACGACCACATGCTTAAAATACAAAGTATTGTAGCTAGGAACCCGAAAGTCTGGATGGGAAAACAAATAAACCACAAATATTTACAGAGCATTAGATGACACATATTCCATGCATGTATGAACACTTTTGTATATTCAGCTACATATTTTATGAGATTAACAGACCCCAAAAAAGTG